TTAAATATTATGAGAGCAGTGTTAGACCAGCCGGTATCATGCTGAACTAGGAAGGAGATTAATTGTTGTGAAGGTAATTATTCAAGATACTCGGCTTTTTTTCCAGTAGGATAATAAATTGGAGGTCCTCCTTTTTCTTGAAGGGTTGGGTATCTCTTTTGAGCGATAAAGAATTGCACTTACGAGTACAAAATTGTAAGTTAAAATTTCCGGTAAATAGATTGGGTGTTGTATCCATAGAAAAGGCCCATGATCTATTCATTAAATGTTTGTTTCGTGTAGATGCCAATGACTACTCAGTTAATGACTGATGTATGGTAGGGGATCATTTTTTTTAATGAAGGGGGAGCAAGGAGGGGAGGGGGCAACTTTATTATCAAAATTCGTTAAATATTTGAAGCAAAAAGAAACATTCCATAACCGTGGAACTTGGAGGTTACGTTCTTTGATCTTGAGGAAACTATAGGAGTTAAAAAGAGAATTTAGCTTCCATGACACCGTAAAAAATGAAGGCTTTGTACACACTTTGGATAATATAAACATTGTACCGCCTTTGCATGCAAAATTAGTCCGGTTTATCTCCCGTGTTCTCTTACTTAAACCTTGAAGTTGGCAAAACATATGAGGGATCAACAATGAAGAGAGATGGACGGTCATTCTATAGTGATCTAACTTAATGGAGCTGTTGCTAAGTTGTGTTAGTATCCCATTGACTAAAAATGAACAATTTACTGATAATATTACTGTGCTGAAATTGGGCGTTAAATCCAAACCAAACTATCAAACAGACTAAGGAGATCATGGCCCTTGCCGTGTAACTGTCCAAAGCCATTTCACTTCTACACTTAGCTTCTCTTTGAAATTCCTGTCAGGCTTTTTCCTCTTTGTGTTTCCGATTCTCAAAATTTTCGAATTCCTTGTACTTGTCATATCATTCTTTGCGTTTTATTCGTTCTTTCTTTGTTTACTAAATGCAGCTGTGTTACGTCTTCAGTGACTTCATTTAGATTGCTGATTACGTTGGAAGCTGGCAGCTTCGACCTTTTAACTAGGGTCAAACCACGCTTAATGGGATACAGTTTCCTAAAAGGAAGACGGAAACACTCAACATATTAAATTTATCAACCCGAGAGCCGACTTCATGTTTTTACGTGGCACGGCAAAGGGTGTATGTCGTTAAAAAAAAATTAAAAAATTAAAAAATAAGATAAAATAAATATATATATATATATATATATATATATATATATGCGTCGGTCGCTGTCTTGTCTCACCTTCATTTTTTTCAAATAGAAGATATAGATAGGTATACTGTGTCTGCTGCTTTATTTTCTGAAGGTCTCGTTTATGGAGCGTGTTAAGAGTAATATTTTGATTTTTAACGTTCTTCTCGAAACAATTTAGACAACCAAAGCACAGAGCACAGGACATTATGTTACTATCGTTTAATTATAACATTTCAAGACATTTATAAAGGTGAATATTGTATACTAAACAGTAGAAGAAAATAATACTTATTTATCAGTGAGCCTTGGAACTGACAAGGAAACAATTCGTTTTAAATTTCAGTTCCAGTTAGACGTTACAGTAGTCGACTGGAAAATAAAAAAAAGTTAAAATGACTAGATCTAGTATTAAGATGATCATGCGAAAAAAATAGGTGTCAGTTGGAAAGAAGTCTGATGATAGCTCTGAAGTCTCAAAGTCTATCTGGACTCGAAAGTCCTAACCAGAAAAGAGGTATGAGGAAAACAATAAGCCTTTAGTAACCAAGAAAACATAGTGGTCACTTACAGAAACCGCTAGGCTTCGGAGCTTGTCTCCAGGAAAAATGAATTATGATCCCCGCCACCCCCACCCCGCCAAACACTCGCCCGTTCCTCGGTGTGGACGCCGCCAGCGGCATTACCCCAGCGGTATTACCAATGCCAAAACTGGTCACCAGGGATGGTCTATCTTTTCATCGGACGGATATTAACGCAGACAAAAATAACGACGGTATGAACAACAGCTCTCCGAGATATGCAAATTTCTGCACATTTGTAAGCTGTACGAATTACAGAAAGAGAAACTCCGGTAGTCACATTGACATTCTGTTTTCCTGCTAGGCGAAATGTTTTTCTGCCCCCGTTTATGACTCTTCGGGACGAGGGGGGGGGGGGGGGTGTTCATGTTTCGACTTCAGTCTACATTGTTGGGAATGTCTGTAGTTATCAAAACTGAGAAAGCCATCTACTCTTGTTGAAATCAGATATGTACTACATGCATTTACATGTATTTGGATTAAAAAGGAACTTTTGTAATATTACTTCTGT